TGCAGCTTCGCAAATTACGCGGTGGAGGGCGACGGCCAGCGCCATGCGCTGAGTATGGCCAAGAGCTACGCGCAAAATTTTGGCACCGGCTTTGCCAGTTTCGTTTTCACTGGAAAGCCCGGCACGGGGAAAAACCACCTCTCAGCGGCCATCGGAAATTATCTGCTGAAGCAGGGGCGAACGGTCCTGATTGTGACAGTGCCGGATCTTACTCTGCGCGCCCGGGCTTGCTACGACGAAGGGCAGTCCGAATCTGCGCTGCTGGATGACCTCTGCAAAGTGGATCTGCTGGTGCTCGATGAAGTCGGCATTCAGCGCGAAAGCCGCGGCGAGAAAGTTTTGTTGAACCAGATTATTGATCGCCGCCTGGCCGCAATGCGCCCGGTTGGCGTTCTGACCAACCTGAATTATGACGCACTGGTTGAGACCGTTGGCGCGAGAGTTATCGATCGCCTGCGCATGGATAACGGAATTTGGGTGAATTTTGACTGGGAGAGCTATCGCGGAAACGTCAGCCACCTGAGACCTGTTAAGTGAATTTTGAGGATAAAATTATGGAAACTATTTTAGACGCACTGAAAGCAATGGGCAAAGCTACTTACCGTGAGGTTGCAGCGCGCCTGGATATCGAGCCTGTGGAAGCGCTGAACATGCTGCGCGAACAGAAAGAGCAGGGTTTATGTGATTTCTTCGATGGAGCCTGGTCAGTCGGTACCGCAAAAGAACAGGCAAAGCAGCGAGCTGTCGCGCCAGTGAATAATGCACCACGCCTGAAAGGTGAGGAACCGGCTCCTGTTGCTGCTGATATGATCCGCCGACTGCTCCGAGATAATAGCGCAATGACCACAGCGGCGTTGGCTAGCGCAGTTCAGCGTAACGCTAGCGGAATGGTCTCAGTGATGCTGGCATTTGAGCGTCAGGGGGTTGTCGTCAAGAATGGGCAGGGGAAGGGTGTAACATGGTCTCTTCCTGAAACCGAACCTGTTGCAACTGATACGGCTAGGTATGCAAAGCCAGAAAAAACGACCGAAGAAATCATCGAGGCCATACCTGCATTTACTGCCAGACCAAATGATCTAATTGTCCCGTCGTCCCGATTTATATCAGCAGAAATCCGTCGTACAAAGGCAAAGCTGACAAACCTACAACGACTTCAGGATGCCGTTCGCCAGTTGCGTCGCCATAAACACCTAATTGGGGAGCAAAGCAATGAATGAAATAGAGAAATTCTCTATAAAATTCATTTTGTTAGAATGTTAGCGAAGTTATAGCATGTTAATAACCAGTCTTATGAAAAGATTGTAATTGGATAGTAAAATTGCGGGATGCTACAGGTAAATGGAGTCGTAGCTAACATAAGTTTACATGAGAAGATGACCTTTAGAGTGCTATGCTCTGAAATTCCGAAGCGTTTTCAGAGCACACTCAAGACAGTTCAAAAGCTTGTAGCATTAGTAAATCTCCAGCTGCATGTTGTGTCTGATACTGCGATCTAAGTTAGCAGCCTTAATCTGAATGAATAAAAAAACCAAAATGTGATATGAACTTGTTTCTGCCGCAACTGTTTGATACTAATATACGTAGAACATGATTAATCAACCTTGGTAGGTTACGTATGCATGCAGTCCATATGTCAGCTTTTCGAGTATTAACTAAACCCAGAGCAAGAACATCATTCAAGCTTGGTGAATTGAATAATGATCAAACAATAAAGGCTTATGACATAGTAAAAGGAATTATAAGTAATAATTTGGATACACCTCTTGAGGATGTGGATACTAAGCTTATTGTATCAATACCTACTGGGAACCTAACATTTGACGACAAAAAAAGAATAATCTATGGTTTTGTAAATGCTGGAAGATATGGGGAGAATTACACTGTAAGGCAAAAGTTACTTACGTCAACAAATCATAAAAAAGTATCCCATGATGAAGTTACTGAGAAAAAAAGATATGTATTTATGTATCTACCGGATAGCTTAGATACAGGTATAGTAGCATTTCATGATTCTTCGAGGTTAAGTGCCAGAACACCAGTTAAGACACTTCTTGAGACAGGCTTCGCTACTAATAATCCTTCTTTTCAGGCAAGAGTCCGCGCTTTACTACATCAGAATATACCACAGGGTATAAAGAATTCAGATGTTGTTGAAATAAAAGCAGTGGGTTATAAAGTTGCTAAAGATACAGCTGACGCAATGAGACTTATAGGAAATAGGACTACTGCTGATATTGTTATAAAAAATAAAGGTTATTCATTAGGTAGAGTCTCTGATTTTTTTGGTAAAAAGACATCGCAAAATAGTCTTCTTGAAATAATAGAACCAATTAGCGACAAAATTAAAATAACTGCTCAGATTAATGGTAAAAACAAAGTTTTTGATCTCAGAGATATTGTCGCTAAGGGAGTGTCGATTGGTTTAGACGATACAATCTTAAAAATAGATCCGATAACTCTAGAACCTGATGCTCAAGCCCTACATGACGCTATAAAAGATGAGATAAACGACTATCTTTTTGAGATTTATGGGAGTGGGTACAGTATATGAACAAGATAAATGTCTATTGGCTAATAAAAAATCACGTGGCTAGCTTGAAAGAAGATGGGGCTAACTGTCTTTCCCGATCTGATATCTGCCTACACTTTATTTTTCCATTATTAGCTTCTTTGCTTATTTGTATATTTTTCAAGGTTATGCCGGGATCGGTTGTAGGTATAATGGTTAATTTTGGTTCCATCACTACAGCATTACTTATGAGCGCTGTTGTAATGGTTTATGATCAAAAAAGTAAGATAATTGATAAAAAAGATAAAGAAATCGTTGAAGATAAAATAAAAACCTATAGTAAGAATATTGGTTTGTATCGTGAGTTATGTCAGAATATCTGCTTTGCTATTTTAACTTCAATAATCATAGTTATTTTGGCTGCAATACTTTCATTTTATGATGTGAAAACAACAACATCTCTTTATACGGGTTTTTTTATAGCTATATCATTCTTTTGTTATGCTCTCTTTATTTCAACAATGATTACATTTTTAATGATATTGAAGAGGTTTAGCATTATATTAGATAACTAAGGTTTTTTTATTTTGTGTGCTTACGGGAAACTCCTTTTCGTAGTGGGTCTGGAGGGGTTTTCTAATTTCTGATGGCGTTTTTTAAACTCAAATTATGATTTTCACTAATTTCTTTTTTGAGAATGTATGAATTTTTCTGCTTGATATGTTGTTAGCTAGCGAATTTATAAGTGGGTAATTTCTTTAATAATTTTGATAATAGATGATAAAAATTGAAAGCCTATCGCTCACGGCACAAGTGTAAATTAAAGTTATCAGTATTTAATTTTTAAATCGAAAGCACGATTAGTTACCCAGTTTATGTTGAAGTAAATGTATACTGATTTAGTAGTAAAGATGACTTTCTGCGTTACAATTTAGGTTCAAACATCTTCTTTACCATAATATAATCTTCCTATCTTGATAAGTGGTCTGCCTTGAGATTTACGATGCTGGTTGGTGTCACGAAGAGAATACACACAGCCACAATATTCTTGCTGGTAGAACTGCTCCCGTTTACTGATCTCAATCATGCGCGCGGAGCCACCTTGTTTGCGCCAGTTGTAGTCCCAGTAAACCATTCCCGGATAGTGCGCAGCAGCTCTTTGCCCACAATCATTGATTTGCTGCATGTTCTTCCATCTTGAGATCCCCAGCGAACTACTGATAACACTAAACCCATTTTCAGCGGCGTAGAGGGCGGTCCGTTCGAAACGCATATCGAAGCACATTGTGCAGCGGATACCGCGCTCTGGCTCCCATTCCATCCCCTTAGCTCGCTCAAACCAGTTATCAGTATCGTAGTCAGCGTCAACAAAGGGTACGCCGTGTTTCTCAGCAAAACGAATGTTCTCCTCCTTACGAATGAGATATTCCTTCTGCGGATGTATGTTCGGATTGTAGAAGAATACGGTGTATTCGATACCTGATGCCTGAATAGCTTCCATAACCTCGCCTGAGCAGGGAGCACAACATGAGTGCAGCAATAACTTGTTGGCACCGCCCGGGAGTTCAAGTTGGGGTCTTTCAGTTTTAGTGGTCATCATTAGCACTTATTTTTGAAGATAAAATACCTGCTGCAATAGTAGCATTGAAAGGGCGGTAGAAAAAAAATGCATGTCACTCAGTATGTGAAGAAACCTATCTAGTTATTGCTGTTGGATATGGAGTGCAGAAAAGGCACTTCTTGCGCATCTTCGATGGTTAGAGCCCTGCTAAGCGTCTTACTGACCCAGGTCTATGTATCGCGTTAAGATGATGATATTTCTGATGATACATAAATCCTCCTGTCTGATTTCTTTTTAAACAGTTAGTTTTCCCTATTAGCATTTCGTGCGGTTATGACGTTGATCAAACTTATGCATCGGTGTACTGTATAAATATACAGTTATCGTGCGAGGGGGAGAAATCATGGGTTTTCCATCACCAGCAGCAGATTACACAGAGCAGTCACTCAGTATTACCAGCATCTGTGGCTATGACGCCAATTGCCGCACATTAGAAACGTCGGCTGGTTATGCGATCGTTAACGTTGCCAAACAACCTTCCGTGGGTGACTCGGTACTGATTTCCTTCTGCGGAAAAATGGACATTGTGACAGTTCAAGGAAAAGCACTCATCACACAGGAGGGAGAGGCCATTGAAGGTGATTCACTGGACGATGCGAAGGTAATCGGGGTTGTCACATTCCTTCTGAACCGTGTTTCAGTGACTGATAACTTACCGGTTATTTAGGAAGCCTGGTCTGTTCCCTGTGTTTGAATGCCGATCGGTTAGACAGAACAATTAAACGAAATTGCTCTTTCTAACCTATTAGACGTCTGGTTAGCGGAACCCTTAATGAAATCAGCATGCAGGGAGAAAAGGACCGCCCCCGCAAGGGGAAATCCATTTTAGGGATGTGCCCATGAAATTGAATGAATTTGCCGCCGGTCTCACCAAAGACGGACTGCTTGTTTTATGTCTTAACGATGGTGAAATCACCGATTACCTGGTGACCAGTAATGCCTTGCGCACATTGATTCGCCGGGAAGGTGATAGGCTTTCATCCCAGGTTCTGGGTGATGAAGACCGGGTTGTAAACCTAAACTCCTTGCGAGAGGACCTTAAGGTTCTCAAGCCGTAAGTGTTGATTTATAATAATCAAATGGGCTGAACACCCTCTGATTACTGCGCCAACCTGAGGAATCAAAATGGCGCAGAGCATTACCCAAAGTCACTCACACCGTACGTTCGTGCACGGTGTTTCTGCTTGTGCTGGTGGTCCAGCATGAAGAAAGCAGATAGCCTCCATCTTTCGCGTGTGGCCGCATTGGGCTGCATCGTGTGCAGAAATCTGCAGTTGGGCGAAACGCCTGCTGAAATTCACCATCTCCGAACCGGGCAAGGCACAAGCCAGCGCGCTGACCATCGAAAATCAATTCCCCTGTGCCATATGCACCATCGCAACGGCGGTTATGGTGTGGCGATT